TATGAAGAGATGAAATAGCCTACACGCATATTACTTAAAAAAAAATAATATCCTAAATAGTAATATTTGTTTAATAAAAATATATATATATTAGCAATAAAATATTTAGAAAGAACAAGGAGAGACACTTGAAAAGAAGATATGTAAAATGTAAAAACATAATTTGAAACCTTGGCCCTGAAAATGTCCTTGCGGCATTAATTATTAAGTATAATGTTGACCCTCACCCTTCTTTCTGCTTATAGCAATTATACGGGGGAGCTACATTGTGGGAACATTGGGAATAACGTATATTATTGTGAACACGGCGTAATCCTCGAAGCGTTACAATCCGAGCCCTAACTGGGCTAACAGTTCCCAGGCCGCACAAGTGCGATATTCTTTTCGGCGAAACGTTACAAGATGCTGCGATATCGCTCGAAAAATTCGAGATGCGGATTCAACATTATTGTTTATCCCTAAAAGATTATTTGCATTTTGTCCATGCTTCGTATATCAAATTTAATGAAATTAAATTCTTATATCATTTAAGTAATTGAGAAATTAAATTAAATTATCTCTTTATATATTAATATAATACTTATGATTTTAATAATTTTTTGATAAAATTATTATATATCAATAAAACAGAAAAAGATTTATGGAAAATTATTATTTCTTACAGATAATTAACGTTTATGAAGAATATGTTTCTTCATGTACATGTAATTAAAAAATAAATACATCTAAATAATTAATTTATAATTATACTACGAACACTTAAAGTGAATGTCTGTATTTATGTCTGATATTTGTCAAAATTGATGCATAAAATTGAATTTATTGTACTCAAAAGCTACATATAATAACTGCAAAACCTTGTCTGTCGCATCAACAATCTTCTAATGCTTGAATTCATGAGTCAGTCAGACTTTGTACTTAAGGCTTTCTTAAATTTATCTTTAGACGCTCAGTAGCCAATGAAATAATTCGTAGAGCATCTTAGCTTTAAATATAAGGCCTGACTATGAATACGGGCATAAATTTGGCTATGTTTTAAAGATTACAAATAATACAAATATTGTAGTTTCATACTTACTTTACACATAGAACGTGTCTCCTCATTTTTTTATATTTTAAAGCGTTCTATACATCATACATATGTAGATACGTGACTTTGAAATATTTTATACATCGTACGTACGTAGGTACGTACGTACGATGTATAAAATATTTCGTACGAAATCTCTCGATAAGAAAAACTATTTTAATATTCTTTCGCGATGAAACGAATTTATGAGAGATACAATATTTTAAATTATTGTATGATTTACATTTAAAATGATATAGCCGACTTCATACAAATTAAATGTTACAAAAAAAAATTGTGTCAAGTTGTGTTAAAAGAAACTTTATACATTCTTTGTAATTTGTTAAACATTATGAAGTAAATAATTATTATTGTTATTAATATATAATTAATAGTGCAATGAATATTTAAAAAATCATCACGATGCTTAATTGTTTTTTATTGCAACATTAAAAATTTTTGTTTAATTAGCACTGAAGTTTTACGCTATTTTAATAGATTTTTGAATTAGTTTATCATTATGTTTATCTATGTTTTTTTGTATTTATGTTTATTCTATTCACATTTTTGTAGATAGCAATAAAACATTAGGAAAGTAATTGAAATAGAAGTTGAGGATTAAAATTTATTTTTGGCTGAACCGTTCACTCGCGATGTATCCTCGTCAAGATGCACCGGCACTCGCTTGGTGTTTTCCCTGGAGAACAAGGCGAGTCACTGTGCCGCGCGCGATGCATTTTACTCCTCGGCACGTGCGTTTTTGCCGCGGGCTTCCGGTCCAGTTTTTAGCTTCGTCCGTCCTCGACTTGGCCGACCCTTCGTTAGGCTCGATGCACAACGAGGCAAAACCGAGACTTTTCCTCCGGTGAAAGGAAACTTTTCTCTATTATTATGACAAATTATATAATATGATACAGGAATATATTAACATTTAACAATAATTATTCAAATTAAACATTTGTTGTGAGTCTCAGTAAAAACATGGTTATCACGTTTTTCTAATCTATGTAGCAACTATTAATGTATTAACTTTCAATCCAAATTGACTTAATTTTATCTAATTCCAACCTGAAAAAGAAATTAAACGTAAACGTAAATATAACGAACGCAATCTGAACGTTGATATAAAGTGTTCGAGAAAGATGTAAGGTCGCGAATAGGTGGGTCATCGATTTTACGAGCATACAGCGTGTACATACATGCTCCCTTCTCGGATGCATCTCGGCGGTAGGTGAAGTCGGGCACTTTAACAGCGAGCGTGGGAGCCAATATTTACAGCCCATACCGAAGCTTATACAAGTGGACTCACGACCTCATTCGGCCTCAAGTAGATATTTTTTTATCTTCTTTGAGCACACGCGCGGAATTCAAACATTTCCTTCTAATTAAATGTTCTTTGAGAAATTTCGAAGTTATTTTATTTCTAAAAAATATTCAGTGTTTTTTTTTAAGATACATAAAGTGTCTCATCGTGACTAATTTGTAGAGAATGTTTTTTTGACTTACAATAGAGTAAAATCTTAGAAAATATCGTACGATTTTATTTTTTAATTTAACTTAATTTAATTAATTCTATATATTATAATTTTTATATTAACTTTGACAAAAATATATTATATTATCCTGAAATTTATAATTGGAGTATAATATATCTTACATATTTAAATTACTATCTGTTTTTTATACTGCTTAATCAAATGCATAAATTTTACTCGAGTTTCAACAACCTTTCTACAAAAATATAAAGGTTAACGCCCGTAAGAGAGACCGCATATTCCAGCTGCAGAATCACGTTGAAAGTCATTCCACGTTGTACGTTAAAGTAATATGGTAGGACAATGGGCCCCGAGACACTCGCTCGCGGCAGCGAATTACATGTCCCACGTTTGCTGTTACTGTTTTATGAGCGGTATAATTCCTCCGGAATTACGTGCGACTCTAGACTCGCACCTACACACGAACGGATTCCCGGCTCCCACCGATCCCTTTGTTCACGATCCTGACGAAACTCCATACTCACCGTTCCTTTGCAAAGCAAAAGTCCCGCTGATTGTCTTCTTAGAATTTTATGACGTTTTACGTGTATTTCCGAGGAAGAAGAAAAAGATGGTACTATATGTTCATGGAAACAATAGCAAACAGCTGACTCCGGTACTCGAAATTTAAAGGTCGATCCTGAAGGAATCTCTTGGGATCTTTACGTCATAACGGGATATAGCAATCAAATTCAACCATTATGTTTTTATTCTGCAAATAAAGATTCCACTTGTTAGAAAGAACTGTAAGTTTTACATTCTCCAAATGGTTTTCTTTTTTTATGAAAAGAGTAATCTTTTTGTCTCTTCACGATTTAAATTTAAAATTCAAATACCAAACACATTTCAATACCATATTAGACTAATTTAATATTAGATTTAATTTGAATATAACTAATAATAATATGAATCGTTAATGAATTATTAATAAACGAATTTTAAAAAATAATAGAAAATAACCATAACATTTAATCAATTAAAGTATAAGTGATAAAAGCAAATAATATTAGATATAAGAATAATTATGTATGTATAACTGTATGGTTATGTCATTTGTACAATGTTATTCGAACGAGATTACTTAAAATTGTGCTGCATCACTACTCGTAAATATTATACAACACGACAAGTGTTCGTTTCTTTTTCTTTCATTTTCTTCTTATTTTCTTTTGTAAAGAAATGAAAAGCAAAACAAGTCAATAAGAAAAATGTGTGAGTCGCAATGTATGTATAGGTCATCTCGCTTTACGTTATATCAAATGAAGCGTTTCTTTAGGAAGAAACGCTTTCTTTTCGTATCCATCCAACACAATAGCTCTCAACTTCTTTGTGGCTTTAAGAAATTTAAAGTCGAAAATGGTTATCGAAAACTGTCACTGCATCCGCATTATAATGAGATTACATTATTATTTACTCTTTCGAAAAAAATAATCAAAACTTAATTATAATATTAAGATGCAACATTGCTGTGAACTTTTATCTTAAGCTGAAATGAAATATCTGTAATCTAAATCGAATCGAGACTTACAATCGCAAGTCGTAGCAAAAGTGTTACAAATAACAATATTTACAACGAGAGCCATCGATCGTTGTTGCTCGAGAATGAACAAAAAAAGGATTGAAGAGGGAGAGAGAAAGAGAGAGGGAGAGAGAGAGAGAGAGAGAGAGAGAGAGAGAGAGAGAGAGAGAGAGAGAGAGAGCAAAAAAAGAAATCGACAGAGAATTTACATGCTCCAGTTTAGATTATCAAGCGTTTCGTCGACGCGAGCACTTTCTTCCTATGCCACGGCTGATTATCTTCTTTGCCTCGTAGCGTAGCGTTGAAAACATGTCTTGATCCTGAGAGAATAATTACGTGACGAGAAACACGAGTCCGATATTCCGACCCGGCAGCGTGATAGGTACCTCTCGTAAAAGAGATTATAACGACTATTAATCTCCGCCCCGCGCACGTTCATCGAAATTACCTTGCTAGACGCTGCTTAAAATATACAGTTATTATTTGAGACAATACAACATAACATAGAAATTGCTTTGATAGAGTATCATATTTTTATGTACAATTTCATGCATTTTTATATTTTAATAAATATAACTCTGTTTGCGTATTAAGTAATGAAATAATAGTACAATGTGGCACAACGTAATTATTAAAATAAAAATAAAATGAATATATACGTGTTGTATATAATATAAAATTGTATACAATTTTAT